TGATGCAGTGTTAGAGGTTAACTCTTTCGACCAAGCAATGGGAATTACAGCTGTGATCTCAGGTCTTGGCCATGAAAGATTCATAGAAAGTTTGCTTAAGCATCCTGCCACCACCTTCAGTGAGGTAAATGACAGATCGTTGAAATTCATAACTGCTGAGGAATATGCCCTGTCACAGAACCTCACCCCTATTAAAAACCAACACCCGGACTGGAGAGACGAGAATCCGAACAGGAAACGAATGAAGACAACACAGAACCGAGGTCCGATGTCGACCCCGAGATTTGGAAGGCCGAACTCAGCACCTCCGCAACAACCTGCAGGTAAACCTCCAGTTAATTGGACTCCTTTTAATTTACCGAGGTCACAAATCTTCATGCAGATTAAGAATAAAATGGACTTACGACGCCCAGGTCCAATGAGAACTGCTGCTGCTACCAGAGACCATACACGGTATTGTGATTTTCATCAAGATCACGGTCATACAACAGAGCAATGCAATAGTCTGAGGATTGAACTGGAAAGCCTGGCGCAGAAAGGAATGCTGAATGAGTACATCCAGAGAGTTGAACAGCCACGATTTGTCAGGGAACAAGGAACACAGCATCAAGGAGTCCGCAATCCCCCAAACAGGCAAGGTGTGGGATATCAACAGGCCCCACCACCACTCCCACCACCAGCTAGAGTCATACACATGATTACGGGAGGTTTGGAAGCAGGTGGACTGAGCTCTAAGTAGAGAAAGTTGTATGTCAGAGAGGTTAAGCACCAGAACCGGACTCAGAAGCGAAAATTTGACGATGCTGAGTGGAAGAATCAACCCATCACTTTCACATCTGCTGATCTTGAAACAGTTGTCACACCTCACAATGATCCTCTAGTTACTTCCGTCACAATAAACAATTGTGAAGTGCAGCGTGTCCTTGTTGACACGGGGAGTGCACCAGACATCATGTACTTCCATTGTTTTGAGAGTCTGGGGTTGGATCCGGCCTTGTTGTAGCGGTACGATGGTCCTATCTACGGATTCAACAACCAACCAGTTCCAGTTGAAGGAGTCCTCACCATGAATGTTGCATTTGGAAGTGGTCGGAGTTATGTGACCCATTCAGTTAGATTTCTGGTAGTCAAGATGGCGTCCTCATTCAACGTCGTCATTGGCCGACCCAAGCTGACTGAAATCCGAGCTGTGGTCTCTCAGTCTCACCTATGCATGAAATTCCCAACTCCTACGGGAATAGCAACGCTGCGGGGCAACCAGGAGATGGCCCGGTATTGCTATATCACCTCAGTAACACAACCTCAGAAGGGCAAGACTCAGATGCCCGAGGTTGGTTCCAAACGGATTCCTGATGATCGACAAGTTATGGGTGTTGAGATCGTAGATAACCGACCAGAAGATGAAACTAGAGCTGCTCCGGTAGAAGACGTGGAAGAGGTACAGATTGATGACAGAGATTCGAGCCGGAAAACGCAAATTGAGACTAGATTGAACCCAGAGGAAAGAACAGAGCTTATAGCTTTTCTTCGGGCCAATAAAGATGTTTTTGCGTGGACTTCAGCAGACATGCCGGGAATCCCCACTTCAGTTTTTCAGCATAAACTCAGCACAAATCCCCTCAAGAAACCCGTAGCCCAGAAACGACGCCTTTTCGGGGGGGAGAGGTTACAGGTTATTAAAGAAGAAGTTGAGAAACTCCTACAAGCCGGCTTCGTCAGGAGAGTAGATTACTGTGAGTGGGTCGCCAATCCGGTGTTGGTCAAGAAAGCAAACGGTAAATGGCGAATGTGCATCGATTACACTAACCTCAACGACGCATGTCCAAAGGATTGTTATCCAATGCCAAATATTGATAAGCTGGTTGAGGCAGCTTCGGGAAATGAGAGATTAAGTCTCTTGGATGCATACTCAAGCTACCACCAAGTCCCAATGGCTCTTGAGGATGAAGAGAAAACCTCGTTCTATGCTGGCGATGAAATCTACTGTTATGTAATGATGCCCTTCGGCTTGAAAAACGCAGGAGCCACTTACCAGAAGATGGTTACCATCGTATTCCGAGCTCAGATAGGATGAAATCTGGAAGTGTATGTTGATGACATAGTGGTAAAGAGCTTGAAAGCTGATGATCACTTAACCGACCTTGAGGAGACATTCAACAATCTCAGACAGAATAGAATGAGGTTAAACCCAGCCAAATGCATCTTTGGTGTGGAGTCTGGGAAATTCCTGGGTTTCATGGTTTCCCGGAGAGGGATTGAGGTCAATCCAGAGAAGATTAGAGCAATCGCGGAGATGGAACCACCGAGGTCGGTAAAAGATATAGAGAGGTTGACTGGGAGGGTAGCAGCTCTTTATCGGTTTATATCAAAGTCAGCAGATAAGTGCCTACCGTTCTTTAAGGTTATGAGGTCAGCTGCCCAGAAGGATGAATCAGGTAAACAAAAGAAGTTTGAGTGGACTCCGGAATGCCAAGCCACATTCGACGAGTTGAAGTCTTATCTTAGCTCACCACCTCTACTGACTAAAGCCAAAGATGGAGAAATCCTCTATCTGTATCTGGGAATTTCAGACGAAGCCATTAGTTCGGTTCTAGTAAGAGAAGAAGCCAAGCAGCAGAAACCAATATATTATATCAGCAGTGTGCTGCATGGAGCCGAGCTGAGGTATCCTATAGCGGAGAAAGCAGCTTTAGCAGTTGTCACTTCGGCCAGAAAGTTGAGGCCATATTTTCAGTCGCACCCGATCATTATTCTTATAGACCAACCCCTTCGGCAGATTCTGCAAAAGCCTGAATGTTCTGGAAGATTAATTAAGTGGGCAGTAGAACTGGGGGAATTTGAGATAACATTTCAGCAGCGATCTGCAATCCGAGCTCAGGCATTGGCAGATTTTATTGTAGAGTGCACTCCAGGTAATTCCATTCCTACTCCGGAGCCCAATGACTGGACCTTATACGTTGATGGGGCATCTAGTAGCAAAGGTTCAGGAGCTGGTGCTCTCTTGGTTGGCTCCAGATGGATACCGAAGTGAACATGCTTTGAAATTCAACTTCGATGCAACAAACAACATGGCCGAATATGAAGCCCTGCTACTTGATCTGCAGTGAGCATTGGAATTAAAACTCAGTGCGATCCAGGTATACAGTGACTCCCAGCTGGTGGTGAACCAAATTAACTCAATCTGCGAAGTTGTTGATCCTGTGATGGTGAAATATGTAGCTCTGGTGGCCGAGCTGAAGTGCAAATTCCAGAAATTCTGTCTGAGCAAAATCCCCCGAACTGAGAATGAACAGGCAGATTCACTCTCTAAATTCGCCTCTGATAATTCTTCGCATTCCAGATCAGTTTTTGTAGAGGTTTTAGAAGAACCAAGCTTCATGAAACCACGGGTGATGGAGATCAGCTCCGACCCAGGCACACCGAGCTGGACTGATCCCATCCTCTCTTTCTTACGAGACGGGGTAGTACCTGAGGACAAGCAGGAGGCAATGAAGTTGAGGAGGAAAGCATCTCGGTATGCACTTGTTGATGGGGTCCTCTATAAGCGATCTTTCTCTCTACCCCTTCTACGGTGCTTGAATCCCTATGAAGCAGAATATGCACTCAGGGAGGTGCATGAGGGTGTCTGCGGAAGTCACATGGGTGCTCGAACTTTGGCTCACAAAGTCCTTAGACAGGGTTATTATTGGCCCAACATGTACAAGGATGCTACTCACTTTGTTCAGAGATGCATGAAATGCCAGTTCTTTGCGCACCTAACTCACCAGCCTGCAAAAGAACTCACTACTCTGGTAGCACCATGGCCGTTTGCTCAATGGGGTTTAGATCTTTTGGGCCCATTCGTGAAGGGGGTTGGTGGTGTAACCCACCTGATTGTTGGTGTAGATTATTTCACAAAGTGGGTTGAAGCTCGGCCGTTATCCAGTCTTACTTCCAAGAAGGTTGAAGACTTTGTTTTCAGCTCAATCATCTGCAGATATGGGATCCCGAATCAGATTGTGGCTGATAATGGAACTCAATTTAACTGTAATTCTTTTCGAGATTTCTGTTCCAGCTACGGGATTAAGCTGCAGTTCACTTCGGTTTACCATCCAGAGTCCAATGGTATGGTTGAATCTGTTAACAAGTGCATCTTAGAAGGAATAAAACCGAGGCTGGAACAACACAAGGCTAGATGGGCAGACGAGCTTAACAACGTCCTCTGGGCATACAGAACTACGAGTCGAACTGCCACAGGTATTCCTCTATACCTAGCCTAGTTGATTAAAGATTATTTTACTTCTTCTGCTACGATTTTCCCTTAGAGCAAATATGCATAACGTGTAAAGCGCATTCTAAAGTTATAATTCACTGAAATAGGAAAAACACCTTATCATCTGGCCTTTGGTACCGAAGCAGTCATTCCTATCGAGATAGGAGTTCCAAGCTTCAGAGTCACCCATTTCGATGAAGAACGGAATGGACAACTGCTTCGGGAGAACCTTGATTTGCTTGATGACCTCAGAGAAGAAGCATGACTTCGAACTCTAGTCTACAAGCAGAAAATAGCAAACTTCTACAATAAACGAGTTCGACCCCGATCGTTCAAAGTAGGAGACCTTGTTCTCAGGAAAGCTGGTCTAACAGGGTTCGAAACTCGATTTGGGAAGTTGGCACCAAACTGGGAAGGCCCCTACACTGTCGCCGAAGTGCCGCACCCAGGTGCTTATATCCTACGGGACACTGACGGAAAAAGGGTTCCTAGAGTCTGGAATGTCAACAATTTGAAGAAATTTTATCCTTAATGCATCTCTTTCCAGAAAACTTTGTTATTCCTTTACATCGTTAATGCACTTCACTTCACATTCGAAGTAATTCAGTCCTATCATTATGACTTATTCAGTCACTTCATTTGTTGGGTTATGATTTTATTACACTTACACTTAAAGTGATTTACTCATTTGAAGTCCGCCTCTTGTATATCCAAGGTCAGGGATCAGAACCTTGTGTTACTTTAACAGAGGTGGACTAAAACAGAAAGAAGTTACTCTATTTTATCCGAAGTCATTCACCTAAAATAAACTAGCAGTTCAAACCAAAACTGAAGATCAAGAGTAAAACTTTAAAAATTTTATAAAATCTCAACAAATGTTATTTACAAATACCACTAACAAAATAAAACCCTAAGTTACTCTGTTGGAGGAGGAGGCTGCTCCTCAACAGGAAAAGGCGGTAGAAGTGGCTCGACTCCAGCAGGCAGAACTGGCACTTCTGCTTCGGGGGGGGCAGCAACTGCACCTCGTCAGAGGAGATTGGCTGCACTTTCGGAGGCTGCGCTTCGGCCATCACCGCCTCAACTCCAGCATCTTGCACTTCTTCTCCTTCTTCTTCTTCTCCCTCCACAGCCACCAACTCAGCATCAAAGGTTGGAGGAAAAATGGTGCGCCCCTCTGCATCACGCTCCCACCTCAGAGTAATCTGAGGATGGAAGTCCGCACAGAGACTCTCGCTATCTTCCTCCACTCCTCCCTCCTGTTCCCCAAAGGTGACCGTTGTCACGTCCACCTCTGGGTACTGGGCCTTCACCTTCTTTCTGTAGTCGGTGAAGGCCAGGATGGCGGTTGGCAGCAGGTACAGCTTGAGGATGTCCTCGAAGGTGCTGGAGTTGAGGAAGTTCCCAATGTGCTCCTCCATCCCGTTGTGCACCAGTAGGTTGACGTTCTTCTTCAGCTCCGAGGCTGCTTCCCTCATCTTGTCCATATATTTGTCCTGAGCCTCGAGTTTCTCCTCGCAGATCTTCCTTTTACGTTCTTCGAGGCCGAGCTTCGTGCTCAGGACATCATTCTCGTTTTGGAGCTCGGCCACTGAAGGGAGAACTTCATCCAGCCTCCTATGCATCTCCCTCTTCTGCTTCCCCCATTCCACCTTCTCCTTCTGCAGCTCATCCTTCTCGTTTTGGAGCTGATCGCACTGCCGCTGCAAGCTGGCACGATCTCTAACGCTCTCCGCATACTCCTGCGCTAGAGCGTTTGTCCAGCTCGCACTCTACAAGGCAGTCAGAAGTCAGACATCAAACACGCAGGACAAAAAAACTCCAAACATACAACCGGAGTAAAATCTAATTATTTCGCGTACCTCTAGGGCATGCCTCACAACGGTATACCCCGCATGGCTAACCACCTCGTTCTTCGCCTGAACTCTGTCCACCTCTGGAAGAGTAGCGTTGAGGAAGTGCTTCGCCCCAGTCTTGTTTGTCGCCTCAAACAAGCTCTTCTGTTATACGGGCGGAGGGGTGCGCTCCCTGCCCCCACCAAGGCCTCGCACTTCGACCTCGCCCCTCTCCCTCTCTTCCGAATTGATTTCTGGGGGAGAAGGCAGGGACACGAACTCCACCACTTCGTCCCCCCTAGTTCCTAGCTCCGCCACCCTCCTCTTCTTCCTCTGGAGAGGGGCCATCTCCTCACTCACATCCTCACTACCCCCCATCGTAAGCTCCGGCCTTGGCTGAACCTCCATAGCCTGGGCAGAGATGCTGGACTGTCGCCCCCCCTCTGTCACCCCCTTCTCAGCCGCAGTTGAAGTCTTTGACTTCTTCCTTGGCTTCTTGGGGATGTACAAGCCCCCAGCAGCACCAACGAACTCGTCCATCTCAGCTGCAGAACAAACATTAATGTTAGAACACATTAGTTAAGCTCTAACCAAAACGGCACATTAAACACATCCACCAACCTTCCCCCAATGAGCTTGGCCCATAAAGCTCAGCAGCATCTATCGCCTCCTGGCTGGTGAGGTACAAGATATCCACTACGTCCCCCTCTTCCCTCACCAGCTTCTTCACTTCCTCCACCTCATCCTCATTCAACTTATAGTTGTTCTGCTTGGTTTTCTTCGCTTTCCAAGCAGACAACTGTTCCACTTCGGCATCCCTCCTACTCCACTCGGTGTCATCCACAAAGAAGAAATTTTCTTTCCACCCTTTGA